GATACGGAGAAAGCGCAGTAAATTGCGCCTCTTTTTGTGACTTTTCTCAAATTTCCAAATGTTTTATGCACTCCTGTTGGAATAAAGTATGATGGTGAATATACTGTGTACGACGGCAAGGCACATTCTCACTAGACAAGTGACGTTTGCTAATACTTGGTCCGCCAAGTTACAATTGGCGCTTATCTTCGCACTTGATTTTTCGGTGTTCTGCCTGCGTCATACCGCATGGAACCACCGATTCACCATCCGAACATAACCATAGACCACTGCATCCGACAATATGGCAGCACAAACCACCACAGAAGTTGTAATCAGTTCGTTTGAATCTTTTTGACTGGAGCTGCCACCGACGAATACTTCCGTCACCGCAATAAAAGGCTGCAACCTCCGCTCCAGTCCGTAAAACAGGTCAGGATGTTCACAATTCAGAGCGATGGCGAATACAGTTTCTGCCTACTTCCAGCTGTCTGGTGGCAAGGATGGATTTCCGCGGGGAGGCATAGAAAAGCTGAAAAAGCGCATCGCTAGCTTGAATTTGAATACTCGCACTGTACAGCGCCTAGTGAAGCGTTCTCACCAGCAAATCACCGACGAAGAAACTACAGATCATATCGACATCTCCAGAATGCGAGACCAATCCGGCAGACACACTCTGAAGCTCACAGAGGACTTGGCAAAGGAGCTGATCAAAATAAACACCAACTCCTGAGGGAAACTCTCGTGCAAACAACTTGCAGGAATCTCGCAGAAAAGAGCTACGCCTGCTCCAGAGTCAGTGGAACACTGGTGCAAGACGTTAGGTGCAGTACGCACATGTGCTACAGCAAGCAGAAGCTATCACTGCACTACAAGCACCAGCGGCTTGCTTGGGTGGTGATCAGCAAGTACGACAAGCGCAAGAGGCGATTTGAAAACTGGCAGTGATGTGGTGTTGCCTTTTTGCCTCAAACAAAGGCATTTATTGCGACGAACGGGGATAACACATACAGCCACCACACGGGTACTCTCACTCAGCTTCTGAGCGGCAAGATGACAGGCACGACAGGTGACTGCCTTTGAGCGTAATTCGAGACGAGGAGAAGTGGAACAAGCTATGAAACGAGCAGCATCTGTCTGGATTGAATGTTTTGAGCTCTTCCTCCAGCGACGATAGTGGCGAGGAGGATGTGTAACTTGCTAGGATTTTCGGCTGAGCTGCTTTCTGCCGTGTAAAGTATCATATACGTAGCGTTTTCTGATCGTGGCATGCTTCGAATATTTGTATTTTCGTTTTGAGACAAGAGTGAAGATAAGTGGCAATTTTAACTTGGCGGACAAAGTACTTCCTCCGTTAACAAAAACTTCGTGATGGATTTTGATTGATATGAAAACGCTTAAAATAGGTCAAGAACAGTTTGTATCGCCTGCAAATCACTGGACGAAGGTAGTTCAGCCTATGTACAGCATCTTTACAAGAGAAACTATTGGCAGAATGAGCAGATAGTTCAGTTTGCGTCGCTTTTGCTCGACTCATTTTTGACCCTGGTTCGCTGCCGTCATCTGCTGCGCGCGAGTCGTCATCTTGTTCGAGTCGTTGTTGAGCTCGTTTCAGCCTTGCCTCGGCTTCTTTGATCACACTTCGCTGAACTTGATGTCGCCGTCGTTGAGGTAAGTGTGCTTTCAAGCTGCGTGATCCGCCGCAGTGGTGATTACTCGTTTCCACCAGGGAGTCGTAAAAATATTTTACGACTCCCTGGTTTCATCTTTGCTCTCCAGAACTCCGCGAAACGAGGAGTAAAGGACTACTAAAGGCACAGCCAAACTGATTCCATTTTCTGTGATTGATACCCTGCCAGCACTGAACGGCAGCGGCTAGCAAGTCCAGTCGACTTTCTTTAGCCACGAGACTTGCGTCGGACTGCAGACTTCTGAAAGAATGCACGGTCATCAGCATTCGAATCTGGGCTTTGCGCAGGTTGAACAAGAACCTGAGTTCAGATTTTCATTGCGCCGTGCGATCGGAGCACCTCCTTGTTCACTCGCTCATTGTGCGGGCTTGCTGCTCCGTTCCATCGCTCGCAAACTCAGTGCTAGAGTAGTAGAGAGGCCAAGCAGTGTATTACCCCCCTCGGAGAAGTGATATTTCAATTACGCTCGCCATTACTGTCCTCACCTATGTTGCCACAGCTCAACCATCGATTCCGCTCGCTTGTTGTGAAAGGTCGCTTTCCTTGCATGGTACCTTTTTCATGGCAGGCGAGGGAAGGCCGAGAAAGTGATTGCGACTCATTTCACAGCAGTTTGTGTGCAAACCAGTCTCTCAAAAATCCATCTTAAAGTTTTTGTTAACGGAGGAAGTAGGCCATTCACACGACGTGCAAACTCAAATTTATCGTACCGTTTCCAAGGATATTTACTCGCATACGATAAACTTGGACACACGCTTGCAACTAATTTTTGAACTTGGCCGGGGCCCTTGTGCTCACGATTATACTTTGCACACGAGCAAAAGTGCCGATGTTGAAAGTGCGCGCTGCAAATGTAGTGTGTGGGATATTTTTTCAAACGGGAATTTAAAAATTTAAAACCCAGGCCCACGGGTACACACCCAGGTCTGCGGGCATACCTCTGCATAGGCACGCACACACACACACACACACACACACACACACACACACACACACACACACACACACACACACACACACACACACACACACACACACACACACACACACACACACGCACACACACACATTCATGTGCACAAACATAATTGCAGACACTCCCACGCCCGTCTGTGCGTACAACAACGTACTCACGCACTCACTCACAAGCAATCAACACATAGGTTTGGGGGTTGCCATGACTTCAATTTGATTAAAGATAATAGTACGTGATGATAGACCAGTTCCAAGAAAACAAACGATAATAGTTGAGTCACATCATCACGTCCGATCGTCAGTGATTCACACTGCCCACCGGGGGCAAACGCACGAACGGCCCACCGAGGGCTAGCCTGCAGCTGCCCACCGTGGACCGGTGGCACAAGCGGCTAGCAAGGCCAACAGCCAGCCCAGTGAGGGCTAAGTAATCCTGCCCGCCGTGGGCCGTTAGCATACTGCCTACCAAGGGTGCACAAATGGCCAACGTGGCCAGTAAACTGCCCGCTGCAGGCGCATGAATGGCCGCCGAGGCCAACAGCTTACCCATCGAGAGTTAAAGCATACGGCCCAAGCGAGGGCGCGCGAAGAAGCGTATAGCCCAAGCGAGGGCGCATGATTATAGCCAGACCGAGGGCGCATAATTGTAGCCCGACCGAGGGCGCATGATTATAGCCCGACCGAAGGCGCATGATTATAGCCTGACCGATGGCGCATGATTATAGCCCGATCGAGGGCGCATGATTATAGCCCGACCGAGGGCGCATGATTATGGCCCGACCGAGGGCGCATGATTATAGCTCGACCGAGGGCGCATGGTTATAGCCCTACCGAGGGCGCATGATTATAGCCCGACCGAGGGCGCGTGATTGTAGCCCGACAGAGGGCGCATGATTGTAGCCCGACCGAGGGAGCATGATTATAGCCCGACCGAGGGCGCTTGATTATAGCCCGACCGAGGGCGCATGATTATTGCCCGACCGAGGGCGCATGATTATAGCCCGACGGAGGGCGCATGATTATGGCCCTAACGAGGGCGCATGATCATAGCCCTAACGAGGGCGCGTGATTGTAGCCCGACAGAGGGCGCATGATTGTAGCCCGACCGAGGGAGCATGATTTTAGCCCGACCGACGGCGCATGATTATAGCCCGACCGAGGGCGAATGATTATAGCTCCACCGAGGGCGCATGATTATAGCCCTACCGAGGGCGCATGATTATAGCCCGACCGAGGGCGCATGATTGTAGCCCGACCGAGGGCGTATGATTATAGCTCCACCGAGGGCGCATTATTATAGCCCGACCGAGGGCGCATGATTGTAGCCCGACCGAGGGCGCAAGAATAAGCGTATAGCCCAATCGAGGGCGTGCGAATGGCCGCTGAGGCCAGCAACCTGCCTACCGAAGGCTAAAGGATACTGCCCAACCGAGGTTGCACAACGGCCGTCGAGGCCAATAGCCTGCCCAACGAGGGCTAAAGCAAACTTCCCGCCAAGGGATAAAGCATAGTACCCACCGAGGGCCAAAGCATGCTGCCCACCATGGGCCGATTATATACTGCCCACCGAGGGCTAAATCATACTGCCTATTGAGCAAACGAACAGCCACCGAGGCCGACAACCTGCCCGCCAAGGGAAAAGCATACTGCCCGCTAGGGCCTAAACTATACTGCCCAGCGAGGGCAAATGAACGACGAGAGAGAGAGAGAGAGAGAGAGAGAGAGAGAGAGAGAGAGAGAGAGAGAGAGAGAGAGAGAGAGAGAGCATGTCTAACACATATGTGTGATTTGTGTCTCTGTTTTTTCTGACTCTCTATGAAGGAGGCCAAACAGCCGCAGGCAGGTAAGTGACAAATCAGTTCTCAAACTTCTTTTTCGCCAAAAAGTTACGAATGGCCAGTGATGCACACGAATAGTCGAATAGTAATAAAGTTCGTTCGAAGAGCTGTACAATCATGTTCTATGTGTGGCATGCATGCTAGTTTTGTACGAGTACATGTGGACCCTGCGCTAGCGGCAATAGAGCTAGGGCCGCTGCTACAGATTACAGTACAGCGGTTACCGTATGTGTACTTGACGAATCCGGGATGTGTGAGCGCTCGCCAGACAGTTAGTAGTAGTAACAATAGAGTGCCGGCACTGTAGTACAGTTGCGAAGGGCACGTGTAATTGTACGAATACAGTACCCACACTGTACTGTTGCGAAGTGGGAGCCCATGGTGCCTTCTTCTTTACTATTTTAGTGCGGTCCAACTCATCCCTCTCTTTCACTTTGAAGAACGTTCTGGATATCCAGTTCGTTTTTCGTGATGGCTTCTGGCACAGCTGGTCGTAGCAGCTCCGTTTAGGAGCACTTCGAGAAAGTTGATGGAGGCGCAAAAGTTCAATGCAAACTCAAGTTCAATGGCTTGACTACGAGCTCAATGCGGGAACATCTTATCCGACGGCGTGTTACTGGCTCGACGGCTGTAGCTGCCACGGATGCGAAGGTATCCCAGGCAAAAAGCACAGACGCAATGCAGAAGTTTCCGGGCCGTCAAGAAATTTCAACGAACACTAGATTATCCGTTCGTTCGAAGATTTGGTATTCGATAGAGTATTCGTTCTTGAAAAATGGGTTAGTGTGCATCACTGATTGGAATAATATTTAGCATCCAATCCCTCACATATTCACACTCAGTCAGGGCAACAAGGACTGGCTTTGGAAACAATGTGTTACTTTGAGTAACTGGTCTCATAATGCAAAAGCTCGAAGAGCTGGCAAGCAATGCTAGGCTGCTAGCGGCAACTTGCCCATGATGAGCAGCAACTAACGAAGCAAATGTCCAGTTGGAAGCAATAGAGCTGTATGTCCCCAAGTAGTACCATTAGCAAGAAGATATGATGGCAGGGTTCTAGCCAGGTCAAAATAGTAGGGGGGGGGGGGGGGGGCATGGGAAACAGTTACCCCGTAACCCATTTTTGCATTTTCAGAAATTGTCTTGCCATACAAAATACCAATGTACGGGGCGAACCCCCGACTTCACAACAGACAAGTGTGCCTTTATGAACCCTCCAGTAGTGACTATCCACTACACTTTTCGTTGAATGGCATCAAAAGTTTGAGCTACGCGCCGTTTGTAGTTTGCACCTTCGCAAGAAATAATTATGTTCTTCTTCGTAGTTTGTAGCAATTCCCGGTTAGTTTCGAATCGTATCAGTCCACTTTACTTAGTTTCAAGTCAGTAGAAATTCGTGATGTCGGATCGTAAAGCTAGCTCCGTGTAGGAGAGTTTTGAGAGACAAAAACAAAATAATTCATCCTGCGCATGGAACGCGAGGATGTCGACTTCTTCCGCTCCGAAGTACATTAGCCTCTTCCTTCGATACACCGTTGACGATCCGTTTTAGGAGACTCAGTGCAACATGGAATCCAAACTCAAACGAATAAACTTTCATGTACTTGCAACAAAGAGTTGCATCCAGAACAGTCCAGTCTACCGAGGAGAACAAGAACAGCAACTCGCGTCGCACTCCACTTCGTATTTTGTTGTCGCGGAGTTCAAATCACGATTTTCTCGACGTTTTCCACAAAAGCTGTGGTCATGTCTTAGCACGCGCTGGCTCAAATAAACAAGAAAGTATAGTGTGCTGAAATGGGCTCGTCTGTAAGGGTAGAATAGTAGAATATTTTTTCGTACTGTTCATATTTGTTAGAATATTTGTTCGCGATTTTGCTATTCTTTGCAACATTGATAAATAGTGATTTTTGGGTGAACAGGGCACATTTTAGTGCTCTTTTATTGCTTGTTTTTTGGATGAATTGGGCGCAGCACCCGGGGCGAAAAGTGGTACAAGCGTGGTGGTGCTGGTGGTACCGTGTGTGACGCCCCTGGACTCTATAAAGCCCAGTGCCTCAACTGTAGCAACACCATAACAGGTGTCTCTTGTCTGCCAATATTCCTGTGATGGAGTGGTTATTCTGCGGGAAGCAATGACTTTCAGACCCACCTGTGACCGTAAACTTGCGAGTCAAGCGGGCTTTCTCATAATACGAGTGCATGCAGTGAAGATGCACTCTCACTTGTTTTGCATTCCTGTTGCCTGTACTGTATGATTTCTTGCTAGCAATACAAAAGAAACAACAAACTGTAAATGTCACCTGCAGTTACACAACATTTTTTGATGTGTGCTGTGCTTATCGCTGTGCCCAGGAGATACTGCTGTTCTGCCAAGTATCAGTGAACTCGAAGCAGCAGAGCAGGAGGCAGCCAGGTTGGGCGGTACGACCGTCATCCATTTCCTGCACGTGGCAATACTTGGTGCGGCGCGCGTTGGAAAGACCAGCTTGCTGAAGGCGTTGCTTGAGAAGATGCACGATGAGAATGAACTCAGCACGCCCGGCATGCGCACGTCCTACGCAACTACAAGCATCTCTGATGACTGTCGATTCATCGAATGCCCAGACATGCCAGATGCTCTGAGTCGACTCTACGTCATCACCATGATGTGCAAACCATCCACTTCGAATCATCCCCAAGACAAAGAGACAACACAAGATGACAGAGAGAGAGCCCCAGCAGGAGAGGATCCTGTGGCTGGGACCCATGCAGGACCTATGGAGGACAGCAGTAGCAGCAGCAGCAGCACCAGCGACGGGCCAGCAATGCGCGAGGAAATCCACAAGACGATCACAGGATTTCTCAACGCAGACCGGATAAAGTACATCTCTGACCGGGCCAACACGCCCGACTATACCGTCATCACATTCCGCGACCTTGGAGGGCAGCAAGTCTACCAATCCGTGCAGCCCCTCTTCATGGCCAAAAACACAACCTTTATTGCCACATACAATTCTTCTCTGAACCTTCTAGAGACCCTTCCCAAGCTCGATAAATTTCAGTTCAGCCAGGAAGAATGTATCGAGCGGGCCACTCTACCGGCCAATGCGACTCGCCTAGACCAGCTGCTAAGCTGGCTCGACATGCTGCTGCTGAATGCGAAAGCTGACAGCAGCACAGACCAGAGTGCTGCAGATGATGATGATGTGTTTGTAGTGGGGTGTCAGAGTGACATGTGGAAGAAAACCGATTTGCCTGATCCTTGTAAACTACTTCGAAAGAATATCGAAGGTTCGCCGTATAAGTACCTTGTCTGGAACGAAACATCGTACTTCAAAATCGACAGCACCAGATCCACTGGAAGTGCAGCACAAGCAGATGAGCTGCAGCGATTGAGAGAGGCCATCATCGACCGCTGCCGGAAGAGCCAGCGTAACATCCCTGTTCCATGGCTCCGATTCTGCATAACCATACACACGCTCAAGCAGGAGGTCACGTGGCCTTGGATTTCCTTCAAGGAGGCAAAGTTCATAGCGAAGCAAGTCAAGGCTGTTCCACATGACTGCAGTGACCGGCAAATACAGCTGCTGCTGAAGTACTGCCACGAAGCAGGCCACCTGGCGTACTTCCCAACTTTCAAGCTGAAAGACACGGTCATCCTGGAGCCCCAGTTCATCCTGGACTGTGTCAATGCCTTTGTCTACATGAAGCTTGACCGAGACATCACAAGGCACGAAGTGCGGCGCTATAAGTCTGGGTTCATGACGGAGTCCCTGGCACGCAAAGCTCTCAACAAGATGTTCGAGGGTCAGTCTTACTGCGACCATGCTAAGGCGTGGCAAGCATTCAGAGCAAGCAGTGATGGGTTCAAGCTCATTTTTGAAATCCTAGAATGGCTCTCAGTCCTGGCAATTGTGCAGGATGAGCACGAGTTTATTGTACCTGCAATCGTCCGGGACATGGGCACGGACCCCCAGCTGCCTCGTTGCTGTGCCTACGTGTCCTTTAAGCACGCAGACAGCGATGAGTTGATGCACTTTCCCGTGTTCCTGTACTGGCAATGCGTGGTGGAGGTGCTGCTGAAGTCACACAATCGCTCGGCTGCCACGCTGTCACGGTGCAGCGTTCGCCTTCGCTGGAACAGCGTTTGGCCGTGGCTGCACCTGCACTATACACGCTACGGCTTACAAGTGTACGTCGAGTGCAAGGGCCGAGACGGCGGCAGCGGAAAGTCTACGCTGGATGAAGTCCGGGCAATCGTGCGCACAGTGCTACGGAAGTGGGGCCTGCAGGTCGAAGTGATCAGCACATTGCCATGCCCCTGCGGAGAAACATCGGACGAGGAGTGTTTACAGCATGGCTTATCTACGTGCTGCGCACCAAGCTGTGCGCACGCCTTGGACACTTCCACCCTAGTGGCTGAAGACTACCCACTGTGTACAGGTTCAAAGAAGCGGGATATACAGATGATCCGTGAGCAGGCCATGTTCTGGCTGGGCCTTGACCAGGTGAGAGCCTTGACCTGATTGAATTCCCGCAGCTATGCAAAAGACATTACGTTAGTAGCGCCTGCCGCTAGCTTTAGTTCATAATATTATGTTTTTGTGGAGGGGGGGGGGGGGGGCACGAACCAAGAGACAATTTCCACCAGGTCTTGTTGTAATTCTGTATTATCTCTGTTTAGGAGGAGAGTTCTTCACACACAAAGTTGCACCATGTCTCTATTTTCTTAAAACTTGCCACGTATTCCCGTCATGTGGATGAGGAGATAACCATTTTGAGCCTACTCTGACTTCGGCAATTATGGCTTGTGCGTGTGCGTGTTTGCATGCATGTGTGCTTTTGCTCGTGTGTATTTACATGTATTTGTGTGTGCATGTGTATGTGTGTGTGTGTGCGTGCGCGTGCGTGAGGGTGTGTGCGTGCGGGTGTGGGTGGGCATGTGCGGGTGTGTGGGTGTGTGTGTGTGCGTGAGTGTGGGTGTGTGTGTGTACGTGTGTGGGCGTGGGCATGTGCTTGCGTGTACTTGGTCTCTTGCAATACCTGCAGGATGCATGTGGAAGGCTGTTTGACCCGAGATCGACCTCTCTTCCTTCAGGTTAGTTGGATGCACAATTCAAACAGATCTGCTACTTCCAAATGATGTTTTGCATGATGTCCGCATTCGTGTGAGTCGCAAGGAAACCGGTACGCTGTTCTATTTTCGTTTTGAGGTAGCTATTCCCGTTCGGGTATTGAACACTGCATGAGCACAGGACCATATCTGGTGTGGATAGAATGTAAAATTTGAGCCTCTTCTCACCGCAAGCTGGTGTTTGATCCCAGCCAACACTGCAGTTCTGACTCTGTTTTGGGCCCTAGACAACTGACATTACATTGTCATAGAATTGCTATGGGGTCGCTGTCATATTTTGTCGCCCTGAAGCGAACATCGTCCGTGGCAGAGGAGGAGGAGGAGGGTGGGAGGTCGAAAATCATAACTTGCTCTACAATGCACTACGTGTAGATGCACTTGATTTGTGGTGTCCAGCATTGCAAACTGTGTTCATTTTGGAGGAGTGAGGGGTCCGTCCGAGTACGAAGTGAACCATGTTTGTTTCAGTGGCGACAATAAACTTCTGCAATAAACCGTGTGTGCGTGCCCACCTGTGTGTGTGTACATGTATACGTTGCATCTGCATGTGTGTGTGTGTGTGTGTGTGTGCGCGCGCGCGCGTGTGTGTGTGTGTGTGTGCGGGTGCGTGCGCGCGCGTGCGTGCGTGTGTGTGCGTGCGTGTGTGTGCGTGTGTGTGCGCGCGTGCGTGTGAATGTCTCTTGGCCACTCCAATGGCACGCCGTCTGTTTCCTTGCAGCAGAAGCCTGTGCCAGTGTGGACAGTAGAAGCGGTGGTGACGGTGCTCCAGGAAGTGGTCATCACAGCGCTGGTGAAAGCGGTGTTCACGACGCTGAATTCATGTCGCTTGGTGCCATTGGGTTAGTGAAGGCTTTCCTCGCAGGTTTATAAGAGGTCAAATACGTTGCCTTGGAGCTAACTAATCAGCCGCTTTCATTAACGAAGTGTTCAGGGTAATGGAAACACTGACAACACGCTGCCTGCACATTTAGTGTGTAGGGGGGGGGGGGGGGTGCTCTACTGTCCACTGGGGGGGGGGTGCTCTACTGTCCACGGGGGGGGGGGGGGGGTGCTCTACTGTCCACGGGGGGGGGGGGGGGTGCTCTACTGTCCACGGGGGGGGGGGGTGCTCTACTGTCCACGGGGGGGGGGGGGGGGGGGGGGTGCTCCACTGGGGGGGGGGGGGGGGGGGTGCTCTACTGTCCACGGGGGGGGGGGGGGGAGAGGAGGGCAGGTACTCTATAGTGTCCACTGGAGGGAGAGGCTCTACTACTGTCCACTGAGGGAGGCTCTTCTGTTACGGCCTTACCTAGAACGTGAACCTGTTTCTAGTTTTTGTTTCGTTCTGTTTTGTGCTGTTTTGTTATCGGTACCACTCTGCACTGCAGTGAAAAGACATTCGATCAGATTGCCGACCGGCATGCGTTTGTGAGCTCGATTGAACCGTTCATCGGTGGAGAGGAGAAAGGCGACAAGAGAGGTTGGTTGCTTTTGGACACTGTGATTCATGTGTATTTCAATGATGCCGGTTGGTGAATATATTTTCCCCAGCAAGGACACGGCAGAGTTTTAGCCGTGTGTATGTAGCAAATTATGAGTAAACATGAAGTTGATTGTTCCAACTAGGAACACACGCTTCTTGCCGAACTTGACACTTGACTGACTCACGACTGCCATCCGGAGCACACGAGGAGCACGTCGCACCTTCCACTCGGCTCCGGATGGCAGTCGTGAGTCAGTCAAGTGTCAAGTTCGGTAAGAAGCGTGTGTTCCTAGTTGGAACAATCAACTTCATGACTATTACCGCCGAAGTCGCAACTTCTAAGTTCGTTATGAGTAGACGTACTTCCTCCGCGTCATCGAAATTGTCGCAGTTTGACTAGTGACTTGTCACTTGTTACTGACAACTCCATAAGCTAAGCCATTCAAAACTTATTACAGTATAATAGTCTGAAGACTAGAGTAACGTTCCAGGACAGTTGGACTGAGAGTTTTCATGCAGAGATGAAGTCCTCGTCGTCGCTGATGTCAATGGACGCAATAATATCGTTCCGAAATATTTCAAGGAAGGTTGAAAGTTGGTCGCGCCTCATCTCAAACGTTTTGACTTTCTCCACAGGACAAGAGCTGCTATGCTTGTCGTCTGCTAGCTCTGGATGATTTCTACTTCACCACCAACGAAGCCTAGTAAGAATACACGATCGTTGCGAGGTCGGTTGATTACCGTCGGCGGAATCACCTCGATCTTGAAATGAACTTTTTTAGCCGTGGCATGCCCATTTATTTTGCCTGTGTGGTCACAGCTCATGTAGGTAAGTGTACTATCACGTCCAGCGCGCCCTCTTTTTCAGCATCACTGCCCGGCCCTGATTCACTGGTATACCATGGTACGGCACCTGCGCGTGCATCACTACAGCACTACGTGTAGAGTCTACACGGCTCTTGCAGGTACAATCATGTACTGAGTGTCTCGGCCAGAGCGACAAATTTTATCGCTGTTGCAGGCATTTAGTTTGCTGACCCCTCGATGTTTCTCCAAGCGCTGCCACTTGTTCCACGAAGTCATTCTCACCCCAGCTAAGGTAAAACAGTGATGAGGCTTGAGTGAATGGCCATAAGCACGAGAAATGTGCAGGCTGCAACGCCTGACTGATCTCAGCGAGTCGAAATTACCATCGCAGCGACATCAGCGAAGAAATTGCGTCTAGTTCAAAATTCCAGCTTCCAATAACAGAAAACAGAACTTTGCCGTCACCCTATACTGATGACCATCGCCTATGTCTGATTCCTTGCCTCTGGTACGAGTGCTGGTGAGTAAATACCCCGTTTTATATCAAAAGTCAAACTGCGACAATTTCGATGACGCGGAGGAAGTAGTTTGAAGTAGTTCTGGAGTCAACCTTATTCTCTGGGAGTGTAGGAGCCGTTCGATTGCGGGCGAATTTCGGAGAAAATGAGCATGAGGCTGGTGGCCTAAATTTCCTTTGTATTTGAACATTCTCGGTGACGTCCGAATATACTAATTGTGTGGTTCAACCGGCGAAAATATCTTCAGAGCCAGTGAGTGCCCCTGAGCTGGTTGAATTGTTTTGCAATACCGGGGCATGATTTATCCGGTATCGCATCGCAGTTTGCGACGCAATTGCACCTACGTGCGATGCAATGTCAAAGTTGTTGAGCAAAAAACTGCGATGCATGCCGCACTTTGGTACCTGTACCCGACATGTACTGTGCACCCATCACGGTACGGTAGCACACAAAAACCGCACCTGGGACCCCGACTTGCAACAGTACATGTACTCAGTCAGTACTAGTGCAAATCTAGTCAGTACTAGTGCAAGTCTAGTCAGTACTAGTGCAAGTCTAGTCAGTACTAGTGCAAGTCTAGTCAGTACTAGTGCAAGTCTAGTCAGTACTAGTGCAAGTCTAGTCAGTACTAGTGCAAGTCTAGTCAGTACTAGTGCAAGTCTAGTCGTGTGCTAGTGTAGATCTATACCGTACTTTACTTACAAGTACCGGGCTGTGCGGATGGTGGAGTCCGCGGATGCACCAGGTGTACTTATAGTTCTTACTTACACTAGTTACAGTTGCAGGCTGCACGGATCATGAAGTCCTCTTCACTTTCTCATTTTTATAAGTAACAGTAGGAAAATGTCTGTGCGACCAAGCACCGTCGAGAAATGGAGGTGCGAGTTAGACCCGAAGAAAGAGTGGATCGTGGTCGAAAGTGGCCCGTCCAGTGTCACCGGCATCCACTGCAGAGTTTGCCGTGAGAACGAATCGTCTCTTCGTGCTCTCCGGAATTTTAGTCGAGCATTTGTGGATGGGATTTCGGGCAGTGCCTTGAAGAAAGACAACATAGCGAAGCACTCGAAATCAGACATGCATGTGAAGGCGATGAATTTGGTGAAGAACAAGTCCATGTCGCTCGCTGCCATCTACAAGTCAACTCCGCTTGGTAAAACAGTTGCCAGTGCGAACGCTGAGGACCGCTGTCGCGTGTCGAAGTTATTCGAGATCGCGTATTTTATTGCTGCGGAGGAGATTCCCTTTGCGAAGTTCCCTGCTCTAATCCAGCTGGAGAAGAGACATGGCGTATCTCTTGGCTCGACGTACTGCACGGCCAACAAGTGCAGTGAGTTCACTTCGACGATCGGCGAAGCTATGCGCGACGACGTTGTTGAGGCAATGAAGAAATCACCATTTCTCACCGCGCTCATCGATGGCTCAACGGATAGCGGCGTTGTGGAGAAGGAGTTGATTTTCATCTCCTTCATTTGTGATGGACAAGTCCAAACTCGATTCCTTGCCTTGAAGGACGTCAGCAGTGGGACAGCAACTGGAGCGATCGAGTGTTTGCGTAGTACTTTCCTCTCACTTGGAGTGGATGATTGGCAAGAGAAACTTGTGTGCCTTTGCATAGATGGTGTTGCAGTCAACATGGGTGTTCGTCGTGGTGTTGCAGTCAACATGGGTGTTCGTCGTGGTGTTGCAGTCAACATGGGTGTTCGTCGTGGTGTTGCAGTCAACATGGGTGTTCGTCGTGGTGTTGCAGTCAACATGGGTGTTCGTCGTGGTGTTGCAGTCAACATGGGTGTTCGTCGTGGTGTTGCAGTCAACATGGGTGTTCGTCGTGGTGTTGCAGTCAACATGGGTGTTCGTCGTGGTGTTGCAGTCAACATGGGTGTTCGTCGTGGTGTTGCAGTCAACATGGGTGTTCGTCGTGGTGTTGCAGTCAACATGGGTGTTCGTCGTGGTGTTGCAGTCAACATGGGTGTTCGTCGTGGTGTTGCAGTCAACATGGGTGTTCGTCGTGGTGTTGCAGTCAACATGGGTGTTCGTCGTGGTGTTGCAGTCAACATGGGTGTTCGTCGTGGTGTTGCAGTCAACATGGGTGTTCGTCGTGGTGTTGCAGTCAACATGGGTGTTCGTCGTGGTGTTGCAGTCAACATGGGTGTTCGTCGTGGTGTTGCAGTCAACATGGGTGTTCGTCGTGGTGTTGCAGTCAACATGGGTGTTCGTCGTGGTGTTGCAGTCAACATGGGTGTTCGTCGTGGTGTTGCAGTCAACATGGGTGTTCGTCGTGGTGTTGCAGTCAACATGGGTGTTCGTCGTGGTGTTGCAGTCAACATGGGTGTTCGTCGTGGTGTTGCGGTCAACATGGGTGTTCGTCGTGGTGTTGCAGTCAACATGGGTGTTCGCCGTGGTGTTGCAGTCAACATGGGTGTTCGTCGTGGTGTTGCAGTCAACATGGGTGTTCGTCGTGGTGCTGCAGTCAACATGGGTGTTCGTCGTGGTGTTGCAGTCAACATGGGTGTTCGTCGTGGTGTTGCAGTCAACATGGGTGTTCGTCGTGGTGTTGCAGTCAACATGGGTGTTCGTCGTGGTGTTGCGGTCAACATGGGTGTTCGTCGTGGTGTTGCAGTCAACATGGGTGTTCGTCGTGGTGTTGCAGTCAACATGGGTGTTCGTCGTGGTGCTGCAGTCAACATGGGTGTTCGTCGTGGTGTTGCAGTCAACATGGGTGTTCGTCGTGGTGTTGCAGTCAACATGGGTGTTCGTCGTGGTGTTGCAGTCAACATGGGTGTTCGTCGTGGTATTGCAGTCAACATGGGTGTTCGTCGTGGTGTTGCAGTCAACATGGGTGTTCGTCGTGGTGTTGCAGTCAACATGGGTGTTCGTCGTGGTGTTGCAGTCAACATGGGTGTTCGTCGTGGTGTTGCAGTCAACATGGGTGTTCGTCGTGGTGTTGCAGTCAACATGGGTGTTCGTCGTGGTGTTGCAGTCAACATGGGTGTTCGTCGTGGTGTTGCAGTCAACATGGGTGTTCGTCGTGGTGGTGCAGTCAACATGGGTGTTCGTCGTGGTGCTGCAGTCAACATGGGTGTTCGTCGTGGTGTTGCAGTCAACATGGGTGTTCGTCGTGGTGTTGCAGTCAACATGGGTGTTCGTCGTGGTGTTGCAGTCAACATGGGTGTTCGTCGTGGTGTTGCAGTCAACATGGGTGTTCGTCGTGGTGTTGCAGTCAACATGGGTGTTCGTCGTGGTGTTGCAGTCAACATGGGTGTTCGTCGTGGTGTTGCAGTCAACATGGGTGTTCGTCGTGGTGTTGCAGTCAACATGGGTGTTCGTCGTGGTGTTGCAGTCAACATGGGTGTTCGTCGTGGTGCTGCAGTCAACATGGGTGTTCGTCGTGGTGTTGCAGTCAACATGGGTGTTCGTCGTGGTGTTGCAGTCAACATGGGTGTTCGTCGTGGTGTTGCAGTCAACATGGGTGTTCGTCGTGGTGTTGCAGTCAACATGGGTGTTCGTCGTGGTGTTGCAGTCAACATGGGTGTTCATCGTGGTGTTGCAGTCAACATGGGTGTTCGTCGTGGTGTTGCAGTCAACATGGGTGTTCGTCGTGGTGTTGCAGTCAACATGGGTGTTCGTCGTGGTGTTGCAGTCAACATGGGTGTTCGTCGTGGTGCTGCAGTCAACATGGGTGTTCGTCGTGGTGTTGCAGTCAACATGGGTGTTCGTCGTGGTGTTGCAGTCAACATGGGTGTTCGTCGTGGTGTTGCAGTCAACATGGGTGTTCGTCGTGGTGTTGCAGTCAACATGGGTGTTCGTCGTGGTGTTGCAGCTCTGCTGAGGTCTGAGCACGCCATGCCCTGGCTTGTTGCAGTTCACTGCTTCAACTACCGCTTGGAGCTGGCAGCCAAGGATGCTTTTGGAAAAACGTATTTGGAAGATATATCAACTATGCTGATCGACATCTACTATGTGTACACAAAGAGGCCCAAGCGCCTCCCTGATCTACACAGTGTTGCTGAGGGGATGGAGGAGCACATCATCAAGCCTCAGAAAGCTCATGGTACCCGTTGATTGCAGCATAAGAGGAAGGCTGTCAAAGCCTTGATCAGCTGCTACCCAGTCATTGTGCAACATTTCCCCAACTTGGCTGAGGATAACACTGCCGACATTGCAAGATTCAGAGGCTACTTGAAGCAGTTGACTAGCTTCAAGTTCGTGTGCAACCTTGTGGCATTCAACGTGATGCTAACACCGCTTGCTGCGCTGTCTATTAATTTGCAGTGTAGCTCTGTCGACCTGCAATTTGCTCTATCCAGCTTGTCCGCTTGTAGGGCCATGATCTAGCGCATGCGCACTGAAAACGCTGTGGAAGAGCAGACACAGTTGCACACCTTCCTTGCTGACGTGGAGGAGTTCTTGGATGCTGACAATGATGGTGGTGATGACAGCGGCGTGTACTTCAAGGGTGTGAAACTTCACAAGGTGACACAGGCCAGCCTTGGTGCGTTCCATCAAGCTCGCATTGAGTATGCAGATGCCATCCAGCGTTGCCTGGATGATCGGTTCCGTGACGTTGAGCAGCAGCCAGTCTTCAAGGGTGTTGGCATCCTCAACACATCATCATGGGCAAGAGAAGATTCGGCGCTCGAAGAGTTCGGTCTGGATACTCTTCTGTCTCTGTTTGACCATTTTCAAGGTGTTCTCGCAGCTGCAGATCGTGAAGCTGTTGTATCAGAGTGGGATGCCTTCAAGTCATACCGGCACTCATCCTCGCATCACCTGTCCAGCAGTAATGTTTGGCTTGTCCTTGCGAAGCACCAGAATCAGTACCCGAATCTATGGCTTCTGATCCAGATCCTTCTCCTCTTCCCTGTCAGCAATGCTATCGTCGAACGAGGTTTTAGTGCGATGCGCCGCATTAAAACTGACTGGCGGTGCAGTTTGAAGCAAGAAACCCTTGACCACCTGATGCGGATTGCCATTGAGGGTCCAGACCCAAGCGCTTCCGACGTCTCTGCAGCTGTTGACAAGTTCTTCAGCACTCCTCGCCGCCCCTGATGTTCAGCCCTACAAGAGAAAGCACGACGAAATCACCATTGATTAAGAAGTATTGTGCACTAACAAACGTTGCTGTTAAACGTTTTCTTATGATGTACTTCTCATAATCATAATAAATTTAAATTGTATTTAACTAAACTAGCGTTGCTCTTACCTTTGAGTTTCTGATTACTCCATTGTTATCCAAGCGCGAATACACTGCTCTCTCTCTCTCTCTCTCTCTCTCTCTCTCTCTCTCTCTCTCTCTCTCTCTCTCTCTCTCTCTCTCTCTCTCTCTCTCTCTCTCTCTCTCTCTCTCTCTCTCTCTCTCTCTCTCTCTTCTCTCTCTCTCTCTCTCTCTCTCTCTCTTGATCATCAGCTTAATATCACCAGTCCATTGTACTATGGAGGACCATCAGGTTGGTCGATTGAAATTACCGTGCAAAAATCCGTTTTACAGTGTGCAGTAATGTAACCGGGTGCGTATGGAAAAACTGCTACGCAAAATGAAAAACTGCTATACAAACGTGAAAGTGCGTTGCACTTTCTGCTATGCATCTTGGTTCGAGTAAATCATGCCCTGAATACCCTCTTGTCACTGTATGCACGTGTATGTGTAGACTTTGATGAGGAGGTGATATCCTTGTACTCTGTTAGCATTGATTGGTCTACAGTCAGGTGGCTGCAGTCTGAATTCGTGACAAGCTGCTGCTTTCTTTGTGTCTCTCTATTGCCTACACATTGTAGGCTCAGCTGATGACGAGCATGCTCCCTGCATGAAGAAGCCCAGGCTTGCGCATGCGGCTAAACCGACATCGTTGACACCTCCAGGTACAGAACTGTTGTATCCTGGTGTTGCCTTGGCAACCCATCAAGTGCAGCATCAGCTGAAATGGGCATACGTAACCAAGTCGACTCCACTGCTTGATGCAGGTTGTTGTCAACTTGTTGTGTGAACTGGTGTTTTATCTCTGCCGATCATGACTGGGGAACGGCTAAGAACACCTGCGCAATCTTTTAATAATGTTTACGTTAAAGGAAGCTGTAAGGAAGTTGGTTGCTCTCACACTGCAACTCGCCCTATTCCCGTCGACCTGACTTGACCCTTGACTGACTCACCACTGACTATTTCAGTGTGGGAGCAACTAACTTTCTTATACGATTATCGCCGAGGTCGCTACCACTCTTTCGTGTTAAATGAAGCTGGTTGTTCTTGAATGCAGTACATGCATCCACGCCATCCACACCGGTCCAGATGAACACTAGGAAATTTTAGAACCAAACGTTTTCGTTCCCTTGTCTTCATGGACTCTTAAAGGGATTAAAGGAAAAATAATAGTGATGTAACGAATGGGGTTTTCTTCGAACGAATAATCTCTCGAATATTGCTTTGACGAACGAACGAATATTCTATTATTCTTGTGATGGGCGTCGATCACTTCACTCCATCAGACTCAACATTCATGTTGCATACAGATCACATTCCCACTGCTTACGAGCAGACTTTACTCAAGAACAAGCTTCACAGTTCTCAGAAAATATTTTCTTTACTGTCATCCTCAATACTGTTCAGGAGATCAAGGTTGGAGCTAAATAACACAACCAAAAAGTGCCAATTTTTCGATTTTTCGAATATCGAATCATGCTGCCTGCACTCGAATATTCTTTCTGGTGTTGGTATTCTAGAATATTCGAATAATTCGAATATTCCTTACATCACTAAAAAAATAACTATCTTCCTCTCCCCAAGCACCAGCAGCACTGTTAGCTGCAGCAGCATCAGCAGCAGTAGCACCTTCACCAGTATCACCACAAGCAGTGGCAACTTCAGCTGCAGCAGCATCACCAGTAGCACCTCCAGCAGCATCAGCAGTAGTAGCACCTTCAGCAGCATCACCAGTAGCACCTTCACCAGCATCAGCAGCAGAAGCACTAGCAGTGGCAATTTCAGCTGCAGCAGTATCAACAGCAGCAGCTGAAACAGCAGCACCAGGATCCCCTACAGTGGAAATAGCAGTAAACACAATAGGGTTCTTCACATTCAACACCAAACAGGGGCTACGGGATTCTACGAGATTCTACGGAATTCCGTTCATCTGTACACCATGCATTATGCTTATACAGTATGTGTATGTGTATGCTGACAAGTCCACAAAGGATGAAACAGTTCTGTCTGTAGATTGGGTATATGTATGTTAAATACAGTGTTTGGTGTGTATAAAAGTATACATGGCATAGTGAAATGGAGCCACATGCATGTAGCACAACAGTGATTTAGATGCCAAGAATCCTTGCCAGGTTAGCCATTGCCATGGTATAAGCATACTTAGATCAACCACTGATGATGTACAGGTCCAGACTGGAGTGATGCACATCGACACTCTAGAACCTGGCTGTGTTAACCTAACGTATGCGGCTGGCCATAAATCATTTTTTGTATGTTTGTTCATGTGTGTGTTTTTATCCCATGTATATTTTGATTAGACGAGGATGAGAAGTCGTACGGCGACCCATTCCAACAGCGTGCCTTTCTAACCGATATTTCGCCTTGGTTGGGCAAATTACCAGCGGGAACATTTCGTAAGATGGCGCAAGCGGCCGGGTTCTTCGCCGATCTGGAGCAGATAGAAGACTTGAAGAGGATTGAGAAACTAGATGGAACGCGCACTCACAACGAAAAGTTGGTCAACATTGTAAGCAGCGAGGAACAGGCTGGCTACAGCAAGCTGGTGAAGCTGATCAATCGCTGGGGTATCTATCCCGACAAGGTCGACAAGATGAACCAGCTTCTGCCACGGCAGGCTCGTGTGTAAACGGTAGGTTGCATTCATTTCTTGCACTACCTGAATTCGGAATAAGTCATTGCAATGTACGTCTGTTGTTTGGCTGCGATGCTGTGTTTCTCATCAGATATTGTCCCAGCTGTGATAGAAAGTATACTGTTGAGGTATCCGTTATGCATGAATCAAATTGGAGAAAAGTCAAAGTTCCTGACGACTGGAAAATTGGAGCGCATGTACTACTATATAGCATATTTTCCGGAGTGCTAGTCGCATCTTAAAACGCCAGAAATGTTTTTAATTTGTGTGCATGAGTGTGGATTCAGGGTGTATGTGTGTGTGTGTGTGTGTGTGTGTTTGTGTGTGCATGTGTTTGTGTGGTGTGTGTATGTGTGTATGTGTGCATGTGCATGCGTCCAATCCATTCTAGCTCTGGTGTATACTATTATGTGATCGTCTTCGTATCTCTGTTTGCTCCATCACAGATTGAGGTGTCAAGCACTTCACGCAGCACGCACTGGTACTGTTCTCTCTCTCTCTCTCTCTTCTCTCTCTCTCTCTCTCTCTCTCTCTCTCCTCTCTCTTTCTCTCTCTCTCTCTCTCTCTCTCTCTCTTCTCTCTCTCTCTCTCTCTCTCTCTCTTTCTCTCCCTCCCTCCCTCCCTCCCTCTCTCTCTCTCTCTCTCTCTCTCTCTCTCTCTCTCTCTCTCTCTCTCTCTCTCTCTCTCTCTCTCTCCCTCTCTCTCTCTCTCCCTGTCTCTCTCTCTCTCTCTCTCTCTCTCTCTCTCTCTCTCTCTCTCTCTCTCTCTCTCTCTCTCTCTCTCTCTCTCTCTCTCTCTCTCTCTCTCTCTCTCTCTCTCTCTCTCTCTCTCTCTCTCTCTCTCTCTCTCTCTCTCTCTCTCTCTCTCTCTCTCTCTCCCTCTGTCCCTCTCTCTCTCTCTCTCTCTCTCTCTCTCTCTCTCTCTCTCTCTCTCTCTCACTCTCTCTCTCTCTCCGTTGTGTGTTCTCGATCTTACTAACTGGCTATGCTATTCATCAAATCCATTCTTCCTTAGTCACATTTGCCAAATGTTAGCTACATTATGTTATGCTTGATCACCACCCCACTAAATATACGGAAATGAAATAGTCTAGTAGGTTAGACAGTAGAGACAGCTAATTGTAGAGGACCACACCAGGTTACTATGCCCGTTGCAGAATTACTACTTATAGTCATGCAGATACATGAAACATTTCTTTTGAATTTTATGAATACATATACAGTAATGGAATATTTTTATTAGGCCAAGGAGGCCAAGGAGGTTAATATTTCAGAAATATAATTATTTTTGTCAAGTTACTTTTTTTCGAAATTCCAGTCAAATTCAAATTCCAGTCACTTATAGATAATTATACAAACTTATAACCGTGCAACTCAGAGTTACAGCAGAAACTCTTTTGATTCCTCTCAAGTGTGTGTACAAACTTATAGCAGCACTTGATGAAATGCTCACTTACATTGTTACTGGTATGTCTTAGTGCTAGCTTGTAACTTGTTGATAACTGCATGGACTGTAGAGTACCACCAGAGCGCTCCACCATCTCCTACTTTCATGCTCGTATTGTGGAGCTGGTGTCCTGTCTGTAGGTCATACGACAAACATCTTGTACAGTAGGTATCGGTTATAGCGTGGGTGTTTGAAAAACGACTTTCTATTCTTATTTCCGATATTTCTTACACACGATACATCAAGTGTGACACATCATTATGCATGTGCGCAGAGGCAGGAAGATCATCGTACGTGCAACGTAGTGCTACTGTGCAAGCGGCTGGTCATAGTCCCATAGGCTTACCATGTGGCTATCCAACATGAGTTACATGACCTTATCCGGCGAATGACTCCGCATGGAGCCGCCGAATGACTCCACAAGAAGCCGCCAAATGACTCCGCATGGAGCCGCCAATGACTCCGCATAGAGGCGCCAATAGCTCTGAGTAGAGCCGCCAAATGCTATTTAGCATTTGGCGACATATCGCCAATAGCTCTGAGTAGAGCCGCCAAATGCTATTTAGCATTTGGCGACATATTGAGATGCATAACCAGTTGAGAGCATTATATTCTCATTGACTATACAGATACCGTCATGTGTGCGCCAGAAACATGAATTGAGCTAGTGGGTGGGAGGGTGGGAAGGTAATTGTTTGGGAACACATGTTCCGCAAGTTGCATGCTCGAAAGTCCAAACAGCAATGACATGCTAGAGACATTGTACAGGATTTTGAAGGGCGCGTGCCCACGTGACTCGCGCATGCGTGCAGGTTGGGCCAGCTCACTGGGCTGGCTGCTAACTCGCGTTAGCATGCTAACGCTCATTTAGCATCCCCCCACCTCACAACAGAGCAACCGAATTTTGGATTAAGCTGGGAGTGCCGATTCGAGCTACTAGTATGATGGCTCTGCAGCTGAGTCAGCAAATGACTCCTCTTGGAGCAGGCGAATGACTCCGCATTGAGCCGGCAAATGGCTCCGCATCAAGCCAGCAAATGACTCCGCATCGAGCCGGCGAATGACTCTGCATCGAGCCGCCGAATGACTCCGCATCGAGCCGCCAAATGACTCCGCATCGAGCCGCCAATGACTCCGCATCGAGCCGCCAATGGCTTCTGAGTAGAGCCGCCAAATGCTAAATATATAGAGATGCATAACCAGTTGAGAGCATAATTATATTCTCATGGACTATACAGATACCGTATTTCCCCGTAAGTTAGTACGTACTAACTTTCGAACTTAGCAGCCACATGAGTACTAACTTTCAGGGGTGTTACTATCTTTCGGGGAGTACTATTTTATCGGGGATAAATGACACGCAGTGGGAAGCCTGCGCAACTCTAGTGTCTGTGCATATGATGTATGTACTGTACGGTGTCTGTACATGTAGGACGGGTACGAACTTACTATCTTTCGGGGGGAACTGTCTTTCGGGGTGATAACCTCGGCAGTGGAAAGTGTATTTTTATAGGGGGTACTAAGTCATTGGGTAGAACTAACTTACGGGGAAATACGGTACTGCCATGTGTGTGCCAGAAACATGAATTGAGCTAGTGGGTGGGAGGGTGGGAAGGTAATTGTTTGGGAACACATGTTCCGCAAGTTGCACGCTCGAAAGTCCAAACAGCAATGACATGCAAGAGACATTGTACAGGATTTTGAAGGGCGCGTGCCCACGTGACTAGCGCATGCGTACAGGTTGGGCCAGCTCGCTGGGCTGGCTGCTAACTTGCGTTAGCCTAAAGAGAAATAAAATAAAACAAGAAAGAGATGATGGACGAGGGTAGTTGTTCATTGACGGGTGACGTAGCCTCACAGTGAGTCCGTAGCCCAAAGCCAATTATTTTGACGCAAGTGGCGATGGACTTTCGTCTTGAAGGATTGGAGAGACTTCAACTGGGGCATCAGATCCGGAAATATGTCTTGCGGAAGCCTGTTCCATTCATCCACTACACCATAATATTATGGGAACGAACGCTGGAGAAAGTTGGGGGCCGTAGGGAAGAGCACTGCTTGTATTTGATGCTGGTGGCGGACACGGAGCTGCGACCTTGTCCGCGGGACGAGGCTAGCTTCCTGGCAAGGCGGCACGAGCGCAGAGAGGTCTGGATGGTCTTGAAGGTACATTAGCGTGTACATGTGCGTGAGAGCGTACACTTGGCGGCGGGCAGCTAGGCTCTGCAGCAAGGCGTCAGGACCAATGATAGCAAGGGCCTTCCACTGTACTCGGTCGATACTTTGCAGGTAAGAGTTGGCTGCGCCCATCCATATCAATGGTGTGTATTCGAGTACAGGGCGTACAAAGCCTCTGTACATTGTCAAGCGTCCTTCACGACCAAGGAAACTTGATGCTCGACACAGAAATCCTAGCCGGGCTACAGCACGAAGAGAAACATTGCGGAGATGGCGTTTGAAGGTGAGTTTGCTGTCGAAGGTCACTCCCAGGAGCTTCAGCTCGTCCCCGCAGGGAATATCATGGGCTCCGTATGTTAGGTCTGGGAGTGGCTAGGGGTTGCGGTGGTGGCCAATATGCAGCAGCTGCGACTTTGTCAGCTCAAAGCGAACTCGCCATTGTTCTCCCCAGCTACTCAATCGATCCAGGCTAGATTGCATGTCTGCAATACTGCCAGCAGAGTCATCTCTGGATCGTATGATGGTGTGCAGCGTGGTGTCATCTGCGTACACACCCATTCGCGTTGATGGGGAAAGACAGGTCTCAGCATCGTTGACCTACATCAAGAATAAGGTGGGTCCCAGGATGCTGCCTTGGGGTACGCCAGCTTTAATGTGGAATTGAGCAGATTCTTTTCCATTGACGATTGCCCTTAGTGTGCGATTCGTAGATAGTCCCGTAGCCACTGCAGCAGGCCAACGCCAATACCGAGAGTGGCCGCTTTGTGTAGGATGCCGGGGTGCGACACGCGGTCAAACGCACCAGCAATGTCGACAGCCAGAACGTGGGCACAGCCACCAGAACCAGCTGCCAGCGACCAGTCATGCCCAAGCACTGCTAGTAGGTCCGCTGTTCCAAGGCCACTGCGAAATCCGTACTGCTTGGTTGACAAGAGATGATGTTTTTCAAGGTGATTCACAATTTGGCAGTTCACAATACGCTCCATCACTTTGGAGATGATGGGGAGGAGGGAGACTGGGCGGTAATTCTTAGGGTTGGATAGGCTGCCCTTCTTGTAGACTGGCACAACTCGAGCACTCTTCCAGGCCTCTGGCTGAACACCCTTACGGAAGCACAGGGCGAAGAGGGACGTGAGAGGCAATGCAAGTTCATGGGAGCACTCTTTGAGCACTCGGGCAGGGATGTTGTCCGGACCGGACGTCGAGCTGGTTCAGGAGGCGTTTCACTGTTTGCATTACCCGAATCCACTTCCGCCTGCAGGCGGAAGTGGATTCGGGTAAGAAGGGTGACCCCGGGTTGGCCCCGGGCCCAAGTCATCATCTCCAAGGCTACATTTATTGGCGAAGTAGCGACCAAGGCAGTTTGCTTTGGCAGCATCCATGCGGAGTTGGTGACCAGCGTCATCCACCAAGCATGGTATGGACAAGCCATGACTGGCGCCAGCAGCAGATTTGAGCACCGACCACCATTGCTTGTCTCTCAGGCCTCCTCCGCGTGACAGTTTCCGACGAACTCTCAGTTTCCAGGATGTGCGAGCTCGCACATTCGCGAGGATAGCATCTTCTACTGAGCGCATGAAGCTAGCCTTATGGGCTTCGCTGAAAATATTGCGTCTCCAGGCCTTCCATGCCTTGTCTTTAGTGTTCAATGCTGTGGTGCACTCAAGAGTCCACCATTTGGGGTCTGCTGGGCGGGTAACAAGCTGTTTGGCGGGGATAAATTTCTGCATGCCGCTGGAGATGACGTCACTTAGCTTCCTGCAGGACTCTTCAGGGTCGTCAGTCACAATGGTGGACCAGTCAGTAGTGCGATAGAAGGCCCGCAGGCGCCCCCAGTCTGCCTGATGATAGCGCCAGACAGTCCTGGAGGTAGCTTGCTCAACATCAAGGTGAGATAAAAGGCGGCAAGTACAACTCCATGGTCAGAGCGACCAAGTGGCGCTTTCACAGTGGTGACGATAGGAAC